GAACGTGGTTTAGTTTGGAGTCCATTTCACAAGTATGGTTTGGTGGACGGCAAATCACAGCTATAAGACATGTGCCCTTTTTCCGTAACCATAGCCGGCATCAAAGCGAATCTGAAACACGGATCTCTGGGTGGTCAATAACTTCACATTGGAGGTTAACCTTGTATTACGGTATTACGCCACCGCCTCTACCAGGTCTCTCATTCTGAAGCAGTGACATACCAGGTAAATTGACTTCAGAATCTGCAATCCCTAGGCTTAACCAGGTCTCCGTACTCACAATGAGATCCCGCGGTTGTGACGCCTGGCGTTCTCTAACTTCGGCCAACTTACTAAAAAGACCTTGGACGTTAGTAGACAAACATGATAGTGTTTTTGATGTTAGAAGTGTGTTGGTGGACGAAACATTCGTGTTTGATTTTAAGCCGACCGTTCTTCGGTCGGTTACCAATCGGTTTTAGCGTAGTTCCTTTGTTCTTGAACTTCAGTCAGGCTGCATGGTAGCATGGAGTAGCCCAGATCGAGAGGTTTCCTCCTGTGTCTCCCTGTCTCGTCAGGCGTCGCTAATGCCATGTTGTCTACAACTTTGCATGATTGTGGAGGCAAATATCTTACTGTTGCATGTTCTAATGAAGTACTGGTATCTAGTGGCTGTGCAACAGCTATCTCGGTAGGAAACCTGGAGCGGTGCACCAAACATCAATCTACTAGGGCGTCTGTCAGTCCATCGGAGCGTAGCACGACTTTCAATATTTTTGGACCGCAGCCTTTGGAGGTTGGAGATGAAAGAAATTATCGTTAGGGATTTAGCTATAACGTGGCCCAGTGCAAGTGCGTCCCGGATGCAGCGCCATTGCTGTTGGTCATGTGCTTGCGCTTCGTGCTCAGGAGAGCCCAATAGTTCAGGAACACTATGCACATATACCAATTTCGCTTTCGTTCGTAGAAGTGCGCTGTGGTTTTCTTTTTACTTTGTACTTCCTTTTTAAGGAATATCGGGTAGTATGTGTACTCCGCTCGATGAGTTGCGAATATGAACTGCTGTGTGTATGACTATATCTGAGTCCTCGGTTGCAGCGCAGTAGCTGAGGTGCTTCACACCTCAAGCTGACGTATATAATGAATGATGATGTTTCCTCGGTTGAATTCAAAGTTACTCGGAGTAATCGTGATTTGCCGTAGTACATTGATTGCGGATGACATGCTACACGTCGTAGCCCAGTTGGATCAACCTGAATAACAATAGCATCGCAGATGGAGTGCCACTAGTTGCGATCGTCTACCAATTTACCCTTTATTTGGTCAGATCTGGACTCAGGAAAGTTAGTGCACACTACCGTTAACGCTCTGTGGTTCCGTTTAACGAAGGTTTGTTTGAGTTTTATGGCTGTAAAATCTTGGATAGTTGGGCGGGCACTAAAGAACGTTGTGAGAAAGGTGTCACATCGCTCGACCTTGATCCAGAAAATGGACGTACGGGTGTCCAAGCGTTTTTATCGAGACGATCGATGTGTGTGTTACTCGGCTCTGGATTGTCGGTGTCGGTGTTGTGACCAACTCGTGAAATATGGCGTCTAGGGATTAGTTAATAGCAGTCACGCTGGATGGGTCTTGCTTAGTTAAAAGGTTAGTCACTGTCGGAATATGTAGACCAGATGCCGTCGTGCGGCTGGTAAGCCTGACTTTAGCCTTCGACTTAGGGACAGAGCTCTGAGGAGTTTGTTGTAAGTATGAGGGGTCTTCTGGAAAGCATTTTGTGAAACAATTGAACAGCGAAGAGGACAGCCAATACTACCTTCTCACTTTGATTGTAATCCTTTTCAGATGCTGTGACAGTTCATGAAGCGCCTGCGACAGCTTTTTCTGAACCGTCCGGAAAATGGTGAGAACTATCGGTCCCAAATCTATAGCTGGAAACACCCGTGGCCACGACAAGTTCCAGCCTCGGGTCATAGTGAGTAAGCAGCATAGCCGACTTCAGCAGCGACTTCAACGTCTCGAATAATTTCTGGCACTCTTTGGACCACTTGCATTCAGTATCCATCATCAGGTGCTGAATCAAAAGATGACGTAAACGACGCGTATACGGCAAAAATTCACTATAGTGGCTCGTCATTCCCAAGGTTGATTTCAACGTTGTAATATCTGGTGGAACCAAGAAGTCAAAATGCCGAGATAATCGGGTGACGATAAGGTTATCCATGCGAGACAGCAGGTTTAAATTTTTTCTCCTGTTATGGGAATAAAAGGGCGTATGCACTTCAACACTATGTAGACGGTGCTTGGAATTCTGTCTGAGGGACTGCAATGAAAGGAAAACGCTACTGTTGACTGATACACAAAGGAAACGAAGACTGAGGTAGGCCAGAAAATATTCCTGTTGGAACAAAAACAATGACTGAAATTTATTACTTGATAAAAGTTACTTTTACATGATTTAGAATCATGTCAACGCATATGTTCGATGGTTTTCAAGGAAATACTGCAGACCATAACATGTCAAAGTTTCCGCCAAGCATCTAATAAAAATCATAATTTGGGGTATAATGGTCTTAAATGGAGATAGAAGTCTCCATGTATTTGCTGGCATAGTCATTGTGAGCAGATATGTAGAAATACTCAAAAACTACATGTTGCTATCATTTCAGAGGCTTAGAGGAAAGATTACTTCTTCCAGGGCGATAATGGTCCATGTTGTCATACAAAGGCAGTGCAGAATCAGCCAAACTGGGGGAGTGAAAACAGGTTAATAGCCAGCTTAGTCCCAACTGTAATTCTAGTTGCAAATGCATGGTACAGAATTTCCCTAGCAATATAAATAACCAGCCAACGGCAAAGATTGATTATTGAGCTCATTTTGATGTTTGGAAGCGTGTCATCACTGGAGAACATACCCAAAAATTGTCGCATTCAATATTTGTAGGATGCAGAGCAGTTAGAAGAAACGAAGCCTGGCCAATCAAGTACTGACACTTGATGATGTTCTGTATACGGTCCATTTTTGGGCTACAATAAAAACTATATTTATCAAGAAAATATTACTGGCATTAAGTCTTGTTAAGCAATGCCACAGCTAGAGCAGAATTTTAGGAAAATACTGTCCGGTATGTGCTTAATGCCTAGGAAATATAACATAACGACTGAGATACCACAACCTCAGCGACGAAATAGTAAAAAACAATTGTGAAAGTAATTCTGTACATTTCCTGTATTTCTATAAGATGCTAACGGTAAACCAGTAGAAAGTAGTATTTTACGGTGCTTAAGCACTTTTCCACAGTGCAGTATAACCAGTTTTATCATTGTTCACTAGTTCGTGCGCTGCATAGCCCAATATATACATCTGAAGCCCAATGCGTCGGAATCTATTCGCTCCCACATGTATGCTTATCTCAAATTTGTACTCACGCAAAAAATGATAAGCACACGCATTGTTAGAGTTCGCTTTTGCTAATTATCTGCAACACTTAACCCCACGCCACACTACAATACCTGATGTCCGTTAACGAATTTATGCGACTTTTTCTTGCTAACCAGCCGACTACGTAGGTTAAGTATTAGGAGGCAACTCCAAAGATGAATACATCTCTTGTATGTAAATGCTAGTGATTTCTGGTCCACTAATGCTGTTGCTTACACTTGGTTGTTCGCTCTTAACGACTTGTTCAGATTACCATTGGTGCACAGGGACTGTTTTCAGCGATCGTTCGCTATCACGGTTAAAGAGAACAGACCAGCACCATCAAACTTAACCGGTTGGATGAACGATTGACAGCATGTCATCCTAATCACAGATATTCCGATGTCCTTCTCTTATATGATTTCAACTGCGCATCTCAAGCTTATAAGGCGCACATACGTGTATGCGAGTAAGCGGAACGTCAGTGGGAATTTTCAGCCTCATCGAACTAGTGTGAGATTTTAAGACATTGGCCGGAATGGTGATCGGTCTCGCCTTGATCGTATCTTTCATTCCTACATTTGGTAAGTATTTTCCGTTAGTGCTATAAACCTCACTCTAACGACTGTGAGATGTGGACCACAACAGCTTCCTTTTTGATTCTTTGACCACGCAAAATATGTACCTTCACTAATCTACCAAATCAAACAGTTTCTGTGCATTCGCTTAACTGAAGGAATAAGCAGTGGATTAGTGTTATTAACGAGCATTTAGTGATGACCAACTGAATATTACAAGGATATCCTATACATTTTTATGTGAGACACACTCACATGGTTGATTTTCGTTGCAAAATCTTAACTTCTCACTTTATAGCATTGTTATGATCTAGACAACAATATGGGATTTCTTGTTTTCAGTAGTTTAGAACCAAAAGTAATGAGAAGCTTTAGTATTCTGTCCAAAGAGACAGTTTGATTATCAGCCAAATCTACTTGCCTAGTACCATTTTATTTCTGACTAAAACGCAGTGTGTTTAAATGCACTGCATACCGGTATAGATTGATAGTTGCACCTACAACAATGGCTGCTTTCTAGAGAGCAGTTTTAGATCTCCGCAGTGCACATAATACTTAAAAATCAGCTTATGCTGACATTCGTGATTAGGATACTACTTCCTTCTGGATAAATTTAAGAGTAGAAACTTAAATGATACATTAAGTAGGAACGTAATCATTTGTTCAGGTCACTTCATGGAGGTTTGGGACCAGTCAGCGGTAGGCATTACTTCTGTCTGGTGACAGGGGCACGAATAAAGCACTTTATACGAACAGCGGGTGCCACCATCAGAGCGTGTAGCGTCAAAGGCCGCCTTGCATATTTAACTAAAGTTAACTACAAGTAACAGTGAGAAACAGAAATCGGAAAACGTGTGCATTAACAACGGAAGTCGTTTCCCTGGGTGCCACCCCTTTTGTCTGTTTTGTCTGCTAGCTGACCAGCAGCTGCTTCATGACAGAAGTTTCCCGCATCCTGTTCGTCAATGGGTACTACCGCTGCCTCTAAAGATAACTAAGGTTCGCTCAGTCATCCTATTAAAATGGAATACTCAGTGACGACGAGCACCGGAGTAATGAACATTTGTGTAGTGGTTTCCTGCTTACCTAGGGCTTGTTTGCCTGAGTACGGCACAGAGGATTCTCATTTGGAGAGTGCACGTAAGTGCTATGAAGACCTGTTGACTAAGAACTCAGAGCTGCTTCACCTAAAACAAGCAAGCAGTCCTTAGATAGCATGAGCGCTGTGGTTTCGTAGTTTAGGGAAAGCAGTTGAACAATAGATTATCTAATTACCCATCACTTGTTTTCGAATGACAAGTAAAAGCCAGATGTATTTGATCAGGCCTAACAGAATAATTTGCTGCGGATGCGATGAGTCGCTGAAAGCGCACTGTCCTCAGACGGGTGGGGCATGGCACTTCACTTATTGGTTTAGGAGTAGTTATGGACCACAACCACCCGCAGTGTGATTTGCGAGCACCAGCTAACCAAAGGCTTGCTCCCATGAAAATAATTCATGATATTAATTCATTTATGACTACTAGATATTTGACCCAAAATAAAAGATTACTCTTCACAACAGCCATCTGCAAGCACGTTGGTGTCACACAGAGTGGATCTGTTTATGTCCCCACGCAGCGTACAAATATTTAATGGTTTTGAAGATTTAAACACTATCCGAAATGTTACCTTTATATCCTCATGGTTCCTAAAACAGTATGTATCCATGCAACTCAAAAGTGAGGTCATTTTCGGAATCTCGGCACACCGATGTCAATGGGAAGTTAAACAATGGTAAGACAATACCTAACTTAAAGTAACAAAACTTACAGCGTATATAACGATTTAGTACCAGCGTAAGCATGGATAGGAAAGTTAGTGATACACTCACCCACTCAAAAACATGGAGAAAACACAGGGAAACAATATACTTTACACTCCATCATTTTGTTCAGTTAAGTAGAAGTTTAAATATTTCAGATGGTTATATGGTTAAATAACATAATAGCTCACATTATGTCCCGAAAGTTGCTTCTTATCTATACAGGTACACATCTGTAAAGTAAGAAAATAGCCATATATTTCTTTTCCGTGCATTTGACAAGCTTGAGTTTGGCCTCGGTGAGAAATCTACTTTCATCTACCTTCTCTTAGCTACTAACTTACATGATAGTAAACGCCTGTTCTTCGCTTACAAGCCTTACACGTCGTGCCGTGTTGACGAACACAGCTTGACAGGCTTCAATTTTAGTCATAAAAAGCTAGGAAATATAACTCTAAATCAACTTTTTGCTTTCTCGCTTGTTCAAGAAACGGTGGTTACCGTTGTGACGCTGGTCGGACATGTGGAGTGGAACGGACACACCATCGACTGGAAACAAATTAACGGAACATCCGCCAGCGAGTTTCAGGCCCTCAGCGACAAATTGTGTCAAAATGTGAGTGTATGCATGTTCGAAGCTACATCTATAAGTTAGGAACATCAGTTGTGTTTACTCCTTATTCTGCCAATAGGCACACAGCATGATAGGATTTTCTACACTCTCCTTCAATTAGGCATGCAAGTTTTATCTTACATTGTGACGAAGTGTATTTAGGAACACTGGCTAAGTAAAGCTGCGGACAGCGCTATTCGAGCGCCCCCTGAAAAGTGGATCTTATTCAATGAGACCTGATTTCATGGTTACGACTCTATTGCGTCCTCTCCGAAATACGCTCAACGTAACGGATGTCCTGACTTTGGACGCTAACTCCATCCAACTAGGCACCTCACGTTCCTTATGGCACTGTTTTGTGACTGCAGTGATGCGTAAAACTTCCCCGAAGCGCCAGGATACTTGTGTCACCATTGGCTAGATCCAGATACGCTTAGTCAAATCTCTTCCGTTGTTTGATAGTTGTGTTTCCAGATCTGCACTCAAGTAAACTATGTATAGTTAAACAGTGATTATGTGTATTAAGAACCTTCCATTCAAGCTAGCGGTGGTTTACGATGGAACAATGGAACAATGGTATAATACTGCTAAAATATCCAAGGCTTGACAAGTCCAGTAGGATGTTTGTGGGAATAACTTTAGTACAAAAGTTACACAAAAGTGAAAGAAACGCATCAGTAGGCTCACCACATTATCCACATTAACACCACGTTATATCCGTCTACCCCTAATCCATGGGGTTGGTGAGCACGATGTTTGCGCCATGTCGTCACTCAATGAACAGAAACCAGCTTAAGTAATGTAGGCTAGGTAAAGGACCGTCGGGTCGTTTTTTGTATGGGTAGCATGGATGCGGAAATAATAAGAGTTGAAAGGGCGTTCCACGTTTGACAAACTCGAAGGAAAAAGGAATTCCGACGACATTCCAGCCGACCGTATTGGGGCCCAAGTTTCAACTTATGACTCCACCATTTTGCGTTGCAGCTAAGCTTCAGAAGGTCTAGGCGAGCGTGACCGGGGTTTTTCCAAAGCAGAAACGCCAGGATGATGTCATTCCGTAGACGGCGGTATCTTCTGCTGTACAACGCCAGGTCTCTCAGTCACCTATGTTGTTGCAAGTGGGATAATCCCTTCACATTTATAGTTGCCCTTCGCTGGGCGGTCTCCAGCGCAACCAGATTGCGTTTTAACCACGGCCGCAAAGCCTGGATCGCGTACTTTATACGGGACCTCACATATGAATTGAGCATTTAGGGGAAGATGGAGGGATCGAACCGCCGGAAAGCCCTCCGTAACAGGCCAACATGTTGGTTTGCGGTTTTGGATGCCTTCAAGGACTGCGCCGAACAGCGGAGATCTTCTTTCAACACTACCCCAAGGTCCCGCTTTTGTGAAACGGTGTTCAGCATGTCGTCGCCAAGCTTATATGCGTAAGTGGGCTTGTGGCGCACATGCAAAGTTATGCACTTATCCGTGTTAAACGGAAGTAGCTTTGCCTTTGACCGTTCGAAGGCGGGACCAAAGTCTCATTGCAGCAAATCATACTCTTCCTGAAAGCCTATTGCCCGCCATATCTTGTTGTCATCAGCAACAAGCTGAACATTTGACTTGATGACACCCGCTAGGTCGTTGCTGAAGAACATGAATAACCGCGGCTCCAACGTGGGCCTTGTGGAACATCAGAGTCTACATTAATTAAATCAGAAAATGGGCCCAGAATTCAAAACCTGAAGGCGCCGCTGAAGAACGAAGTTTCCGATCCATTTAAGGACAGGGCTTCCAACTCTATATACTTGCAGCTTTTTGAGAAACACTTGGTGATCTTTGCGATGGACTGCTCTGGAGAAGTCTAGGTACATGGCATCAATGTTGGTTCCACTGTCAGCTAGGTCGGTACAACTGTCACGGGCAATAAATAGATTGGTAGTAATAACCGGTGTTGTCGGAATGTGTGTTGCTCCAGTGCTATGATGTTAGGAATTATGAAGTAGCCCATTACATCCTCAGCTACTATTAATCCCATCACCTTTGAGAGCATCGGTAGGAGGATCACTGGGCGATAGTTGGCAGGGGCTAAATGGCAACCACTCTTGAAAGTCGGGGTAATTATGCCTTGTTTACACATGTTAGGAACCTGCTTTCATTCAGGAATCCTTGGATTGATCTCCTTAGTGTTTCATCTATCTTCGTGGCTGCTACCTGGAGTACTTTTAGGGGAATGTTGTCAACTCCGGGGGAACTCTGGGTATGCAACGATAGCAGCTTTCTCAAAATGGTCGCCGAATTCAAGGAAACATGCGTACATACTGACCTCTAGGTGATTGGGACAGTTATGTTACATCTGCCGGTAGTACGTCGAAAAATTAGAGCATATTGGAGCCGTAGAATGTTAGCTGCATCCACTGCGGTTTGAGCTCATCCATCTGTTGATATTATTGGGGGAACACCACGGTTCATATTCCGGAGGCTGTTCACAGGTCTATACAGAAGCTTATTGTTAGCACAAAACCTTTCCGCTGGACTTTGTTGGTGCAATAATTTGTCGTCACGCACAAGCGCGGTACAGTGATTGCGAAGCACAACATAGTTACTAAAATTGTCAGGGGTAGGGTTCGCTCTATACATATTTCACACTGCGTCTCTTACACTCATGTGTTCGGGTTCTGCTCCGGATGAATAATTGTGTTCTTGCGTAACGAAGTGGTTTGTTGACAGATGCAGATTTAATCAGATCACTGAACCTGCTAGTAAACGCTATCCAATCACTGTCAATGGAACAGTCGTCCGAAAACTCCCAGGTGGCATCTCCCACAAGTTCGGCCAGTATGTCGTAGTGGGTGATTTTTTGGAACAACTTATTACATCCTAGTGGATACTCGGCGTAACACACGAAGTCGTACATTATGGTTACGTGGTCACTTCGCCCCAGAGAGCTCTCCAGCCTTGGTTTCGCAATCATGAGCTCTTCGTTCGTGAGCACTAAATCGAACACATATGGTTGATTCTGGAACCTGAATCTGTTGGGTGAAGTGATATGGCTGAAGAGCGAACTGCTTACCATAAACTCTTACAGATCTGCCTTGAATTGCTCGCTTGCGGATGCCGGAACGTCCAACTCGTGAATATTGAAGTTGTCAGAGATGAGAACATGGCCGTACCGTCCTCGTAGGACCCTTCCCAAAGATAATGTCAGGCGGGAGTCCATCTCTGGCGGGGACATTGGGGGACGATAAACAACAGCCAAAAGGCAACTGTCGTTGCGTCTCAGTCGCAGACTGCACCATAATGAGTGTAGTATCAGCATTTCTGAATCGACCAAGGGTTCGCACTGCAGGTCGTTGCGATAGTATAGCCGTACTTGTCCGCCCTTGCTATGACGATCGTTTCGGAGAAGGGACGTACGGTTTATCGCGACCTCGGCGTCGGTTATTTCTGTGTGTAACCAAGTTTCTGTTAGGAATAGGTGACCCCAGGCATGCGACGCTTTACTTAGCCGCTGTTCGGTAAGCATGTTCAGGAGAACTTGTGCATTGGTCTACTTGCAGCAAAGTTTCTCTATTTTTAAAAATGTATCATGGTATGCGTACTCTGGGTAGAATGTTGTGCTGACTGATGAAACCTTGTCCACTAATCATGTTTTGGGTGTGGCGATGACGAACACATCCGTGTCAGATCTATGGATCCTACCGTTATCTCTTTGCTTCTCTCTTTGCTGGTAATGTATGGGGTGTGTTTACCAGTTTCGGTGGCCAGTTGTTTGAGGTTATTCGAACTCTTGTTGGGAAGTGGTGCGACTAACTACCTGCTCTCGTGTGTTTGTTTAGCAGATGGTGCCTTGATCCAGAGCTCGGAAGGAAGGCTGCTGCGGCCCGCATACCAACACTCCAGCACCATTGCTGACATTTGTCTAGATTGAAGGAACGTTTTCGCAATCCTCATGCCACAACCTTTGTAGTTTGGCGATCGAAGCTGCCTGGAGATAGATTACGTTATGACATTTTCCAGGGAGTGTCTCGCGAATGCATCGCCATTGTTTCTAGTCGTAAGTGGTCGCATCGCGCTCATGACTTCCGGCATCAGGAACGCAGTATACTAAACTATTCCTGGCTACCAATTGCTTCCGGTTTTTGTCCAAGAAGTGCTTCGGCTGTTTGCGCTCGCTCCACAGAATATCCGTGAATAGGTGGATGAAACATGACCCATTCCGAAGGCGAGCAGTCAATGAAAGAACAGCTTCTGCTTCATTGGCGGAAGTCAACCCAACTCGCAGAAGTCTTGGTTCACAGTAGTGCTGTAAGTTTGGGTGGCGGGTAAGGCGTACTTCATGCTCTTCATGTACAAGTATTTGGTAAATGAGCAAGGTAGATTGTACTGCGAGTGGGCAACTATGTGAATAAGCTGCATTCAATATATAGCCTTCCGATAAAAATACTGTTGTAGAGAATTTGAAGAACCAACTGTTGAATTCAGGCTGAGAAAAAGAGCGTATAGAACCAAGAGTTGTGAGAAATCGTGCTTGGTTCTTGTCTTAATCTACCACTTATATTCAACTGGAAAAGGTCCCTCGATGAGCTATTCTAAGACGGGTCCAAAAATGTCCAAACACTAATCTTTCCAAAATTAGATTTTGCCTCTACCATCCACCACAGTGTAACAACACGTAACCTGATATTCCACCTATGCATATCTCTCATTCAAGAGCATGGATAGTTTTGTACAAATTGATCTGTGCCTCTAAAGACATCATTTTTTGTATCAGGAGAAATATGGGTATTAATAATATTGTTATACAATTAAACAGTTCAGATATCTCATTATGTAAAAGGTACCTCTTCAACCTCATCTTACTTAGGCTCCTCCAGTCTCAACTGCGCCTCATTCCTCTCATATGGTTTCTGGTGCTATTTACACCAAAATTTCTCTAATGATGGCCCGCAAAGGAAATAATGTGTGAGCGTTTTCATCAAGGGGATGCTACAATCTGGTATTATGTGCTATAGTATGTTCTGCTGGTGGCTGATCCCTACCAGCGCTATAATCAATAACATTTTAAGCTAAGTATGGGTGCGATCAAAACAGATAAGTTTACTTATGTTATGTCTAATGCTTTTTAACACTAAGTCGCCATTTTCAGTGCAATATTCCGTTGGTCTATCTTTATTAATGAATCTAATCACGCACAGGCACATGGCGTGTGTCCCCAATCAGATGAATAGAGGTGTGACAGCTGAAACTATCTGTTAAAGAAGGTCGAAAGCCCACAAGTATTTCTGACGCAATTATGAACTAAAAGTTAGGAGCTGATGGTGGAACACAATTTGCTATATACTTAGCCACAAGTAGTTTGATATCCGGAAAAGCATTTGAACCGTTTTAGTTATTGCTAGCTTTAAGCATAGAAGATCCACAATCAATCTTATCGCTTGTCGGAACTACTGCTTGAAGATCATCATCTCGACTAAGGTTCAGACCCAGGCAATAGTTATGGATAGACAACTACCGAGATCTTGGGTAAATTGGCACCACTATTACTAATCCATTCCCAGTGGCCGAAGCACGGCTCTAGCGAAATGCGATCGATGCCCAATGCCTAGTTACGCAGTTACTGACAATAATAGCATCGAACGAATACGAATTTAGGTGAACTCTCTGTAAACCCCCATGCCGGCAGCTACTGCGTCCTGCTTGAAATACTAGTAGAGTTGCATCTTAATAAAATTTCCTAACAATAAACGGAGCTTCTTTTGGAACACAATGTAGGAAAATAGCATTAGACAGCAAACACCAAAAGGCTTCATGGTTTTCGGGTGTGGAACGCTTTGGGCTTGCCGATGTACACAATACTAGGCGACTTGTAGATTTCGTACCCTCCATTGACAGAGTAAGGATATCAAGGATGTATTTATTATTAGAACAGTGCCAGACCAGTTATCTAAACCGGAAGAGAAATTGCTTTTATGATAACCAGTTTATATGAGCAGCAAGTGAAGTATGATAGTTTTTGTGACCACACTGCCCAAACTAACGATTGTTCACAAATCACCAATTATCTTTGGGATCAACCGTGAAGCTGGATCACTAAGAACACTGCGAAACGAATTGATGGAGAATGCGGTAAATGTCCGCGCCACATATTTATATCATTGTAGCTGCAAATGCAACCAGCTTACTTGGGAACTTTACAGGATATTTCAGTTTAACTAAGGTCTCCACTGGTCTAAACACTTCACGGTGGTTTGACAAATCAGGCGGTCATTTTTGCTACCCTATACATCGGGTCCCTTATACGACTTCAGTCTCTATGGTCGCTTTCTTTGAAATGAAAGTAATGAAGACTACATTCATTCCAACATAGGGCGCAGGTATCATATAAATTTAACTGAGGTCTCATTTCTGAGGCTTCGTTAGTTATAATGGCAAACGGAGCGGCATGATACACTCTTTCCTTCGTTTATCCTAAAATCGATATTTTTCAACATTTTTCGTTAGAACCAAACTATAATGTCTGTACCTGTTAAAGTTGCTTTAAAAAGTTTGCTGGCACCCTTAAAACATGCTTAAAGTTTGAATTATCCAAATCATTACCTCAGCTTGTCCAACCACCTCTTCCCCTCTAATAGGTACAGATACTATTTCAAACTGTAATGGAAACAGACAGTCCTCTCTTGAGCTGTACTGTGAATGTGAGCAACAATAAGACGGATACGATGTTCACCTCATTAGTGGTCGTGGACTGGGCGATTCCGGATGATTTCACATTTTCGAACCAACTCCGTCTGAGTGCGGTCTTGTATCCCGAGTTGGCTGGCCCACATTACAAAGAGATAACTGTCTCAAGTGGTGAGTAAAGTTAGCTAATTTACGTTTTCGAGGTTGAAATTTGGTGTACATCAAGTCTCCGTGGCCAAGTCAAATGGCATTCCCCAACTTGTCTAAAACTCTTTCCTGGCAGGACCACTGAGAATGCTACTTTTTATATCGTAATCACACCCAACTCGCAGTAACCACTGTACCCCAGTCCAAGATGCTTCCAAGGCACTAGAAACCAGTTGGTTAGGATTCGGTTATTAGTTGTTGAGTTTCGCTTAGTTGGAAATCTTCTTTCACACCGACGGCCTGCAAGCTACAACCGATGCACTCAACACCAAGATTAGTCACTGTTTTGATACCCTGACCACTGTTAACCGCAAATACTTTCGCCCCGGCCGCGGAAACGCTGTTGCATGTAAAAACGGCTCCTAAGCTCAAGACGTAGCTTACGGACTACTGCAAAACAAATGACTTATCATTCATGATGCATAACAAGAAGTTGACCACAATGCTGAAGCTGACCTATTACAGCAACCAAATCGCCAATGAAATGCGCGCCCTAAGCAGCCTGTCCAAATTCGTGTACTGCTGTCTTGAAGAGTAAAACTACCAAGCGTAATGAGCCCACAGTTCCAGATTATAGCATCAGATGGCTATAATGTAACAGACAATGCCAAAGCTATCGAAAAGTTTAAACAAGAAGTATGCGTCTCCTCCAATATGTATACTTCATAAATAAGCAGCTCAGAGCAAAATTAATCTCTTTCGATGGTCAAGACAATATGCTATCCCTAGTTGCGAACTTCCTCGGATACGACATTCCACAGCTACTGTTGATCACGTTCAATCCATACAGGAGCTGAGGCACCGATTTAACTCATTGTGAAGAAGATATAGTTATGCGGTGACATGAATCAGGCTCACAATACCATTGTAGGAATGATCCCCCCATAAGCCACATAGTAAGTTTAACCAAAAATGGCACTATATTTCAAAACTAGTACGTCGATTCATTACTGTCGAGCAAGATGTTAAACAACCCTCAGTACAAGTGCTTTATTTTCGGTCCTGTATAACTTGCCAATTTGCATTTTAAGTTACCCTTTTGCATCAGCTGATGTTAGTATGATGACAAGTAATCTAATTTGTTTGGGTGCCCATTGATACCTGAGCTAAATTTATGCCCTATGAAATTGGCGAACTCTTGCATTTCCGATGCTGGTCACAAACCTACTGACCGAAGGCAGGTGTTACAAGTTAAAGACCACAAATCTGAGCCTACACATGTCACCAGCGGTAGGATACAGGCAGTGTAATTAAGCCACCACTGTTCCTAATATATGTTGGCGATATCTTCGACGTAATAAAATTCAGTACCCCATCCTTCTTTACCGATGACATTAATGTCGGATACACTTCCCGCTCCGACGTCTCTAATGCTGCTGTTAACATAATCCAACTTGACCACCACGTGCTTAAAACCTTGTGCTGAAAGTGCAACATGTCTTTCCCTAAGGAAAATTGTTGTGCGATGTTCCACAAGTGCGATTAAACTCATAGTGGCCTGACTCTTGATGATGAACCACTAAATCTCTGCCCTACAATCACAGTTCTAGGATTGTGATCTTGATGCTCATATGACTTTGAGGAACAATGTCACCGCGAGGACAAGATATTTTATTTGATGGGTATTTATTATTTCATTCATCCATTCTGATGAATTAGATTTTGGACGCACGGTGGAATATAGTTCATCAACGTATATTAGCACAAAAGCTTAGTTGCATTGCACTGGAGCAAGTACAAAAAGCGTCTACCAAACGTTTTCTAGGAACTTATTCAAGACAGGAATAGGTTGATTCAATGTGGTAAGCTCAAGCTTGATCCGTTCAGACTACGGCACCTAAAGCATAAATCAGTAGTAGTTTCAACATCATGCACAGAAATGTATATGTCTTTGACCTAACCATGCTATTAATGCGATCTTCCATTTACAACACACAAAATGGATAGAATTCAGTGGCAAATTGTAAGTTCATGACCACCAGGTCCGCTGAATTTTTCTTAACAGGCGCGCCAGGATCTGCAATAATTTGCCAGTCAGAATTAGTGCATGCATTTAGCACGGATTTCGAAAAAGCATCGGCATGTTGCTAAATGCATCAAACGTGATCAATATTTTCGGTTATTCCAAAAAAATAGGTTATGCGTAAGAGTTGAGTTCAGGTGTCTTTTAATCGAGTACTTGGTCTGCCCACAGAATCTTTTATGTCAATTATCCACGTTATAATTACGTATGTAAGAGAATGGTTAAAGACAACTCGCAGTCAGTCGATATTTTATATGATCTTCTGGTCATTTCCTTCATCAACAACCGATACGATTTTTATGTTTCTCGATTATCATTTATCCTTGTTTTAAAAGGTAGATATACTCATTTATTCCGATGCAGACGGGGCTTGCATCGTCAAGAAGATACGCTTCTGCGCACGTTTATCTGTGTTTATTGCATTTTCGGGCAATAATCGTTATAGACAGACTTTTTAGGAAGATCCATCTCTTGATAAACTAACCAAGTTTAGCTACTGCTTCAAGTGTGGTGTGACTGATAACTGAGTCAATCTCATTATCCTAGGTATCACGTCGGTTTACCTCAGTAAATAAGTTGCATAATGACTAAATCAGATGGGCGGAAAATCACATGCAGGTATATGACATCTCAACTGCGGCGGCTTTGTTATCGAATTCTCGGGTCCAACTTCGGCTACTAAGATTAATTAGCCATCCGTGGCACTTTCCATCATTATTTCAGGTCGAAGGCTCGGGTAGACTTCTCGACGGACATCTCAAGAGTCACCAGCTTGAGTGATATTAGCTTTAAATGAAGAGAACAAACCCTGTAGAAACCAGTTATGGAGTTCAGTGTTTAGTGGCGGAGAACATCGGCATCCTTTTCCCTACTTTTGTTCACGATGCAAAGATATCATCGAGGCAGCCAATGGCCTTATGCTCTGCTCTATGCATCCTCAGACTTTACTAACTTTTGCCAGGGAATTCGTCCCACACGTCCTTAAACTCGTTTTATACCATCTAACAATCTATAGCGCCAAGTAAGCTGCCATTAAATAAACCATTTTGCACCATCCATCTTAAAGGCAACTAACTAAGACTATGAAACCTACGTTTTGAGTGTCTTGACTATATCGATAACGTATGGGCCGAGCGTTGGCAGCAATTATGCACCTCAAACGAACATCGTGAAGCGAAAGTAGGATATTCTCTAGAAGACAGTTTTGTACAACGTACCTAGCAACAGCTATGGCATCATTTTTTACGATTCTAACCATGGCACTCTAAGAGAACCGATAGTGACGCAAGTGGGAGAAATTAAGCTTCGAATTCTGCAAGATCTGAATGTGTCACGCGCTGTGTAAACGTCTGCACATTAGCGAAGAAAGCCGCTGGCCTCCGATTAGTTAGGTACTTAGCAACATGAGTTATTTTGGAATTATCTTACAATGTACCACAGGTAAACAGGGAAGTTACCACAGTCCACAAAATCCAATCGGGTTTGCCATGATAAATAACCATGCAATATCATTTTCTGCCACGGTTTCCCTACCGAAAGGTAAATGGATACCCCAGTGGACTCGAATTATGCTGCAGAAAAGACGGTGGCGTGAAATTCTTCTTTGAATGCCAAGAGTATTTTTATTGGATGAGGAATGCAAACTGATTCAAATAAAGCATTATAAATGTGCCAACAGCGTCGCTTTTTTAGTAAAACATGATATATATCTACTGTGTACAAAGCATACGACTGTAATTTACATGCATCAATTAAACCATCCTCCAGCCTGCGTGAACCATTTGTTCGTTTGTCAGTAAGAAACCGTTGTTTTGTTCATGCATACATAGAAGTTAAGCATCTTGAAAGCGCATTGAATTCTGGCTTTCGTTAAACAATAACTTGTGCTGTCATCACCGCGCTTTTGGTTTGCATGGCTCTAGTTACTGTTTCACCGATGCTACTGGCAGGGCATTGGGTCACAACCCAAGAATCTAGTACCACGGCTTTAAAACTGCGTCCAGCCTGCGGTCTTCCAAGGTCTTTGTCCTCTTGTTTGTATCGACAAAATGTTCAATGTAAATAATATAATGTAAATAAATATGCAACAGCAAATTAAATTCAAATGTTGACACAACTGATTTGATGGGCAAATATATGTAGTAACAAAAAGGATGCAGGTCATTGACTTCGTTCTGTTCAGCGAATGCTGTACCTCAAAAAGTCTCATTAGGAAAACTTCCATTAGAATACCTGAGAAGCAACCCTAAATATAAACGAAAATGAAGAACCTAGGATTCGACTTCACCGCAGTTCGAAACACAATTTGCCGTGCATCATTTATTGTTCATTTCTAAATTGCTAATTTCTGTCGGGTTTTACGGAGCATATATCAGTTAACCTTACTTGTAAACGTACTTGTATTACCATATTTTAAGTTACTTGTTGAAATAGATGCCGTTTCTTTCCCAAGAAATCAAGTGCGGATCTCATCAGTCAGACTTGTTTTATATTCTATGCGCAACTGGCTCCTACTGCCACTTTTTCTGATACTGACTACAACAAGTGCATTATTATAGGACACTTAGTAACCGTAGAAAAACGAAGAAATCAGTCATTAAGTGCTCTGATTAAGGTGGAAATTGGTGGCTGCTTCACTGAGCGACATCAGGTAAACATACTTGAGCAAAAGTAACTCAAGGTATCTTAGATTTTAAATAAATAAATAAATTGTATGTTTTCCTGTTTTGGCGAAATGCTTTGTACGGCATGTTCAGGTAAATAAAGCATTGCTAGTTCAACGACCATGAATGATCAAAAAATATACAACAGTAATGTAAATCATTTTCCGATATTGATGGGGGTTAAAGTTGCCTGTTGTTTCAACGTGTTGTACAGAATGTCTATATCAGATTTGGTAGATCTATTGATAATACTAATACAGAAATGTATAAACTAGTTATCAATATTCTTTTAGCGCCATTGATGTCTGCTTTCTTCCTGGCTATTTAATGTTATCGAATTCTAGTAGTGGCGCCGACATGAAATCGAAGCAAGAAGAACAACTTTAATAGATAAACCTCAGAGTAAACTGCAGTCAAATTAGTAGGAACATCGACAATCGACAGGTGGAAATTCACACTTCCTGGTGCATAAAAGCGAATACGTGACTTGACAAAATGAAGACAGAGAATGTAGTTTGTTTGAATGACCTTTGCCCCCATAAAACTTGATGGTGACAACTTTGTTGTTGACATGGTCGTTTGGGAGGACGGACGAAAAAACGTTGGTGAGTTGGAGGCTTTCCCAATGCAATATTCACTCTGTCGTATACTATTTTCTAGATCACATACGTTCTCGACCCTTTTCGTACGTTTGGCTGTTCCGTAAGTGACCTCCCAAGAGATTGATCAGATTTTGTACAGTTAAGTATTTGCTGGTTCTTTTTGAAATTCCTTCCCTGAATTGCCAGCAACGAAATCCGTTGGTAATTTGTTCCAGATTCGTGCATATCTGTCAAGGAAAAACTTAGCGGACCTGGTGGTCCTCGACGCATTCCATTACTGAAGATTCCTTAATTCGTGCATTGTATGATATTGATTGTATTGCTGCCAAATTAAGGTTGGGAACATGTATTTTCTTTGGCAGGATGTTGTATGATATGATTAGGTTGTGCTTCATTCGCCTCAACCAGATGGGATCAATCATAAGTTTCTCACATCGTTGAGAATACTTTAATCTCGATGAAGTCCTGGTAGGCGCTTTGTGAATAATCATTGTGCATTTTCTAGTACAGTGTTGTCTCGTTTGCTTGTACTACCGTACACCCTCGAGCAGTATTCCAAAAGAGGATGTGAAAGTGATAAATAAACGCAGAGTATATATCCGTTTACTTTTTCGGTTCTAAATCACATTCCAGTGCTTTGTGTGGTCTTTGCGGGGACGTAGACTACTTGTTCTGAGAAGTTGAGTGAGCATGCACACCTCAGTCGCGGGTCAAAACTGTATGGCATATATTAATTTGCTCACCACAAATCGTCAGTGTTGGATGTTATGTCGTATTTGTAACACATAGGATAACACTTATCTATCGTAAATAACTCTCGCCAGTTTAGATTCCGGGTTCCGAGCGCGTGGAGGTCTAGCTGGATCATATTGTTAGTTTCGTTTATGGTAGCGGGGTGAAAATTGTCCATAATTTTGATGTCATCGGCAAACACATATGGTGATCCGAATTTCACAGCGTCAGATATATCGTTAACATGTATCAGAAATAGTATAGTGTCCAGGACGCCAATCTATACTACACCACTTATGACTGATGTTGGTTCAGATTTGTGTTCCTGAATCTGCACCACCTGCGTTCGATTTGTGAGATACGATTTGAACGACGAAAACAGGGGTCCCCCGATTTCATTAGACATCACTTTGAATAATAGTTTTATAGGTGGCACTCGATCGAAAGCTTTGCGCATATCGAGGTAAAGAACGATCGCAGGATTGCCGTTATCCTGTGAGGCAGTTAGATGAGGTACAGATGCAAGTTGGCACGTTATGCACGAAAGCGCATATGGAAAACCACGTTGAGAGTCGATGATTAACTACCAAGACAGTAGGAAGTCGACTGTTTTCATATCTCGCTCCATCAATCTAGATAAAATAGATGCATGCTTTATTGGACGATAATAATTCGTTTTGAACAGGGAGCCTGATTTGTGTCACGAAATGATAATGGCTGCTTTCCACTTTGTTTGTAGTCAGAGTTCACGATAAGTTGAACAGAAGCAAGGGTATGTCGACTCCCCCAAGTTTGATAAGTGCAGAGGTATATTATCTGGTCCGCCGAAGTAAGTTAGATTTCAATTGTATATTTCTTCTCTGAGCTTGGCGATTTTGTTGCAACGTTTCACCCCAATGCGAGGTGGCATCCGCAGTGCAGTGTGATGCGGCGTGCAACAAAAACGTCAAGCTCGGAGAACAAATGAACAGTTGAATCATCAACCCGAGTTACCAGTATTCCGAAACATGTAGGTTAGTTTTGTGTATTTTGCAAGCATTTGTGTGTCACGGGGTTCAAACTTGACACTGTGAGTTGATCAAGGTTTGTTAGTGGTATATCCAATCTTGAAGGGTCATTATCCAAAAGTACTTACTAAAGCTTTCACTGGTGTTGGTTGTGTCAGTTATTATGTGTTTATCTGCCGTAACCAGTGAGATCGTGTGTTAATTCCGGATGATATTCCTACACATTAAAATGTCGACTAAACTGTGAGTTTTATCCTGGTTGCAAAGGGCTCGTTTTCCTTAAGCCATCTCCTTGTTATGACATGTCACGTATAGAGCTGTGGTAACCTTTTGATGTTATGCTAAGAAGAAGAAAACATTAGTTTTACGATATGCCGTTCGCAAATTTTGAGCTTTATGGCTGCTTTGGGTGACATCTCCGATTTCTATGTGATAAAAGTGTCGATACACTGTGGAGCGAGTGCATCATTACATATATGAATTTTAGGACAGCAAGAAGGAAACACATTTCAACAGAATACGCTGAATTAAGATATTTCGGGTATTTTCACCAGCTGTTAGCATACAATCCGTAGAAAAGCTTGTTGCGTTTGAAAAGGCACAACGTTTAATGTAATGCAAATTAAGTTTGAAAAAAGAAAAGGAGAAGGAAAAATTACCGAGAGTAGTGGCAAGTAACAAAATATAAGTGGCGAAGAGCGCCATCCAAACAACGCTTACCTAAAGTATCCTAAAAATTATAAATAGTTTCAATGACACATCACATATATTTACTCAATACTCCTTTCTTACAATTGTAAGCACACTTTTGCTAGAAATCTTAGCCTATCCATGGTATTAGACGGAAAAGTTATCATGCGAGAGTGAACTACCCAACCCCTGTTCAGTAAGACAATGTGATGGTAATTTAATTGGTCGCAAACACAGCTTTCGCCCATCCGTAGTCCACCAGTAGTCAACAATTGAATGGCGGTGAATATGCTTACTATACGGTTGGTATGATTTCACGTATCGGGAAATGCAGCGCACCAAAACATTGCCGCAAGAATTGGGAGACCTAACGTGCGAATGCATCGGGTACTTCGAGTGGTGGTGAAGCTTTAAATATTTCAATAATAGTTTTTCGCTCAAACAAAGGTTGTAAATAAATAGTGTTTTTAACATATATATTTACAAAGATACTATATGCTAAATTTGTTTTTAAGCAACTTGGACACGGTGTACACTGGTATGAGCAGGCTTAGGCATATGATGTTTTTCACTGTATTTTGTTTTTAGTGAATACAACGTATGATGATCTTGATATTGGTGAGTTCGTTCTGTTCTAGGATAACACACCTATTACTGGTTAGCTCACTGACGTGAACAACTAATCATTCAGTGAATAACTCTGTCCCTTTTAATTCTATATTGATACCCCATGTCACGGCAATTCGAGGCAGTTACTTCATATACTCCTATCCCTCACATCCACTAACAAATAAAACGCTAAATCTTCCTTTGGCCATCTTCTCCACATTATAGCGTGCTTATAAAAGCTCTCCAAATAGCAAAACAATGACACCGATCTTACTAGCACCGTGGTTCAACGACCGTGTGGTTATAATTGAATATAGTGCGAATCAGATTATCCAACTAACTTGAAAAGTTCGACAGTGGTGACCCTGGTGACAGCAACTGTCATCTATCACGGCTAGAAAGGAGATCGTATAGAGGTAGTTTGAAGTTTTCAATTAACAAAACAATCTATTCAAACCGACTGCGTTAGTCAGCAATAACTGCCTCACCGGATGCAGTGCAGCAGGTCACAACATATACGATAAGCCAGTGACCAGTACAAACTAGTCTAGAGTAGAAGAACTGGCTGACAGCTAGCTCCTTTAATGTCTACATTCTAACAGAATAAGGTCGACTGCAGAGACCACAGGCATACGTTAATGGTCATGTAGATGCCACGTCAAATTGCGGTGTGCCAGCTTCAATGTCTGTCTTCTTCAGAAGACAGTGGTCAACTCAACCCGTGCAGACTTATCAATGAGTGGGTCAAAGGTCAGTCGGCCAACTAACCCGATCTGAGATTGCGAACTGGATTGGCCTGGATTGAAGCTTACGTGAGGATAGTAGAGCAGCCGTATAACTTCGATGCGAATTATCCACCTTAACTCATACGCTGTAAAACAAGCAGTTGTTGTATACATATCAAATGCATCCGATCACCTAGTTTGCCCTAACCGCTGCGCGACTCTGTACTACCAACTCCGGAAGACAATAGCTAGTGCTACCAATAACCAGGCTGTAGTTCAGACTCAGATATCCTTAGAGCTGTGCAACAGATCATATTTACTTCATATTATTTGGTCAAAAGACGTTGCTCATTCTTTATGTATATTCTAGTATCCGACAGAGGTGTGTTGACGATCAAATTAATGGGAGAACTTGCATTCACCAGTGAGTTACCCCCGTGGGAACAATGCATTCTGGACGTATATTCCTTCGAGTGTGCTGAAATTACCACTGCCCTGTGCGAAAACGTAAGTGATCAAAACATGTTATCATACTGAATAGTTAGTTCCGCTCACCTCTTACGATTACAATTAACTGCCTTCAACTACAATATCTATCGCCTTTTCCAGTAAAAACTAAAGCAGCTAAGAGGATTACATTTGCTAATTTTTGGTAATGCCCAAACTGCCACGCTAGCTGCGTCCCAGCTGCGCAGAATCACATCAACAGGCGGCCGAGAAAAGTCCGAAACGATGACATATAGCATTCACAACCAAGTCACTTATGACAAAATATTTGGTTAAAATGGCTTCTCCGAAAATTCCGCGCATGTACCGACAAAGATTAAGCACATGCTTGTGAGTACCTTAGTTTGCGCTTCTAAACGAAGCGTTGTGTGTGGTAGTTTCTAAACTAAATGGGCAACGATTGGACGGCAACTGCCAAATAACATTAATTGTTTTAGTTTTGCGCCTAATCAACACCAGTTTCTTTTGCGCTTAAAATGAGCTCTAGTTTACATTAGTTAGGAAAACGCAACAGCAGGTTTTTAATCGACTGTTGTCATAGTTTAAGGAACATTAAAGCGCATAGTTGTGTGTAATTTGTCGTTTTTAACGCGGGTTTCAACGCAAAATGTACTTAGGATTAACCAAAACGTTTCGTTAGAATTCTATTCAAAGGAGCGAATGGGTCTCAACCTAAACGGGACTCTTCAATCCACTAAACAATGACTACAAGTGAACTGGCATTTTTGCTTCCCACTCATTCTGAATCACGCTATCATACTGCCCCAAACAAAGCGATAACAGGGGACATTTCAATAGAGGAATTGTGTGCTGTCCACATAACTTAAAAGAAACCAAGATATTACATGCTAACCTGACTCCACATGCCAACAGATGCTCAACATTCATGTACTAGGTGACAGGTAAGGCGCCAATTAATTAATTCGCAAAATTCCTTGCTAGGCTCAAAAATTCCTTGCAGCTCTGCTTCTCGAATGAGGTCTAACCTCTTAGGCTGCATTGCATTAGTTCCTAAGTGTCAGGGAATAGTTAGCTGAAAGTTTAACAGGAGCCAAGATTACGAAAATAAAAGGTAGATGGATTGCAATAAGAAATTGTTGTTTTTACAGCAAAAGACCCCTATGTTCCAGCTATGGAGCGGCACCAATTAGCGTTGCCTCCTAGAGGAACGGAAAGATGCAGCAAACGTTGCGTTCGTGCTAAAGAGACCAGCCGAGATGTGGGTCACAAATCGTAGTTCGATACAAACCATCGAACTCAGCATTCAGTTCAACATACGACATCCATCGTATGAGTGCAAATTGTGTTAGTAACTTCAATCAGTATGTTACCCGATAACTGCAGGTAAACTTGGTAGGTCTCCAGACAGCTAAAAACAGAAATTCTCAACCGTTGAGATTTTCAGCGGCTTGCTATTGTTCTTATGCTAGCTACTTTCATTGTGATTTGGAATTCATTGACCAACTGGCCAAAAGACTCACATGGTAAACGTCCTGCAAGAGTGTCAGAATATATTTCGTGCCAAAATCACAGACACAGTACGATTCTTGTACAGAACACTAAGCAAAGGTGTATAAGCATGTCAACTTGCAGTTTGTCCATAAACCAAACCCGTTGATTTATTTAGTTTTGCCAAATGTATGACTCAGTCAGTCCAAACATAAGTCATTGGTGTCAATGGAAGATTAACTTGAGGTGCACCTTTTACCTTTTACTGCTTAATACGTTTCCTCAAATACAACTGTGCTTGTTCCCGCTAGCACGCAATACGTCGTACAACACTCAATTTCTTTCAGAACTTTGACCTCGTTGGTTTGATTGAACCACTAGAGGAGTGCCAATTGAGCTGTCTTGTACGTCCTGAGAAACTGGAACCACCTTTAGCCATGGTCATCATTACCACAGAGCCGATTGACACACCGGACGAAGTGTCTGTATTGGAACAGCTGGAAGAGCTGGCTGCGAATGCGTTTTACACGAATGGTCCGTATTTCAAATGGTTCTACAGTACAGTTGGTAAGTACGCCATTGTAAATAATTAAACAAAAAGATATATGTTCCGGATGTACAGGAAGCTGATCTATTAAACGCTCAGAAGAAACTTTCATACTCGTACGTGAATAACGCAGAACGAGCAATCACACATGATTCGGGGAACATTTAATGTTTCTACAGTATCCAGAAGGAACCAAGTCCCTTGAGCCCTCTCATGATGAAAAAGGAGAGCGAGAATTTCAAACTTTCTTTAGTGCCCAGATCTACTCCACCTATCATTTTCATTACATTCAAATGGTCAAAATAATAATAAGCCCATGGAGTGAAATAAAACCATAACATGTGGACAGATTAGAAACGAGCCTAAAGGTAATTGTCCGTGCAAAGAAATATTTATTGCAAGTGTCGTCAAGAAAATCCTGGCATATGACATAAATCATTTGTACTAAATATAAAAATTAAGGAATATCCCTCAGACCTTCCGTCAACATGTGTCCCTAGAGGTCAACATAGACCAAACTAAGCTGAAAAGCTTCTCCCGATTGGGAACTAGCACCAAATGAAAAACAGAACCTGATTGTAATAAACGCTTGTCATTTAATCTAATTAGAGCTGTCTCACTACGAAAGTTGCCGAGTTTTACGAGTTCCAAGGTTACTGCATAAAACGTCAAATTGCAACAGTTTCACTGCAATAAAGGTTTGCTTGCCAAGCGTATGACCGATGACTGCACCGTTTGTAGCCTCTCCTTTTGGCATTATCCACTTCGTTGATGTAATCTGTTATGAATTCCTCTAGGTTACGCCGCGGTCTGACGATATGGTTTCAACTCTCCCAGTCAGACAAACGAATAGGAGTTGGAATTGTATTCACACACGACAACGTAAGCGACAAAATTCGATGTTTGTACGACCCGTGAGACATAGGCGCAACAGAGTTACTATGCCCAAGTCGAACGGGCCCCTAGGCCGAACGAAATTTCACACGCGACTACCCGTACCCGAGAGAAATATGACAAAAGACAGGCCTTTCGCAACCGACAATTTACCTACCAGGATTAAGTCGACTACAGCGCAGTCCAGTTTTGCTTATATAGCACGATTGTCAAATACTTGAATTTTGCACGTAGATTGTTTTGCGTAAACAAGACCTGGAGGCAAGGTATAAGCAAGTTAATTGACACTATGCAAAGATGATAAAGAAACATGTCGAAAAGTGAATGTGGGAAGATGCGGAGGCTGGACTGGAGAAGTGAATGTTTCTTAGGTAAAAACGGCCGAGTGTTTCATGATTGCGGTGGTTGGCCGGAAACAGGACAGTGTCTTAGGTACAAAGGCTGATCGAAAAGTGAATGTCTGCCGAGTTGCAAGACTTATCTGAATACTGAATACTGCATTCTAGAGCAAACAGAAATGATTTCTGTACAACTCTTACCAAATATAGTGAAAAACGGTTTAAAAATTGTCAGCCATGAGCATCATTATACATCTCATGTAAAATGGAAAATATCTGGCTCACAGTATTGCAGGACTCACATTTGTGCGATGGCATAGAAAGTGTGCACTTGTTCCTTGAGTCGAATAGTGGTAAAATATAAATCTAACAAAGTTTTGAACTGCTGCACAGATGTTGGCTCAATCACATGTTCAGGCAAACTGTTCCACATATTTTCACTCTCCGTTCGAAGCACAGTGGGTGGGAAGCATGTTTCACATCCGGCGCGACAAGTTTGTATCTGCGTGCGCCTATGCTGCATGGCCATCGTAAGTGCAGCATTGGCCTTAGCATTAGGAGGTCATCGAGATGTAGATTACGGTAGGTCATAATGAGGTCGACTCACACCTTACGGCAGGACAAGGTGTAGAGTCCAATTTTCTTGCACCGGTCTTCATACCCCAAGCCAAGTAAAGTCGGGATGAGTCTGGTGGCAACGTGTTGGACCCATTCATTCTTTTGTGCCTCGCCACGATTAATCCGAAAGTAGGCGGGTGAACCGTACTCTAGCATTGGTCTAATGATGGAGGAGAAGAAGCGAGTGTCAAACTCTTCAGACCATGTGCCGAAGCTACGTTTGAGCGCCCAAATCATGCGCAGTCCATTATGATATTGCCTGTTCGTGTTGTCCACAGACTTCAAATGATAGCGCGAGAGTACACCTAGGTCCTTCTCGGAGGTTGGCCGTCAAGGGGGCTGTTTCGTACGTCAGCACCCTTCCGCAGGCTCCTAAATACAGACTTTTTGTGTTGTGTATACCGTCAAGGCACTATAAATGTAGGGAAGGTGTTCGATGTAGGCAGAGTGTCTTTCTTTGTACGTGTCAAGGAAATATTGAACTATAACTCTAGTCAACCTCCCAGTATGTAGTTGTGGGCAGTGACTTTATTCAATGGCGAGTCACATCCACATTTTTTAAATCTGTGTAGTGAGCATTGTACAGAAATGGAGCGCATTTTCTACCAGCTTTACTGAGTACTTATGTACAACACATTGCTAACCCGGATAACATGTTAACATACTTCTTTTTCAGTTGACCGTCCACACGTTCTGTTTTTCGAGCACGACATTCATGCATCTGTCTACTGAAGTTAACACACCTCGGTAATCAGTACCGGGGTTCAGCTTCACAATAAGTGGTCTACAAATGCTGAGTTTCAGGAAATCAGGTGGAGTCAGTTTATGACTCATTTCAGTAGACAGGAGAGAATGAACTAATATACACGGCAAACAACGGTATAAGTTTCACTGAAATCGATGGATATCACGTCGACAGGCTTCCCCTTGCTTACTGCCTGCTATCACTCATATCTCGTGGCAAGCAAGCTTATAAAGCATATGCGACCTTGGATAAAACTGTGCTGTGCGGGGAGTCAGAAGCTCGTTTGAATGTAGCAACTGCAATAAGCAGTTTTTACGATTTTCCTAGAAACCATTGCCAAAATTGATAGCAGAAGAATTGGCCTGTACTTCTGTACTTTGCTAGGCTTACCCCTTTCGGAATAGGCTTCACCACCAAACATTTGCAAGATCTGGTTTCAGACTAACCTCTTTATGAACACATCACTACGCCCACCAGATTCAGGAGAACTGACAGACCATCCATGTTGGATCGAATATTCACCAATGAAGAATTAATGTTCGAGAGAGTAATAACCGACATCCCTTTGGGCCGCAGTGATCATGCGACGCTATTGTTTCATTACATGTGCTACGCGGATTATCCTAAAGAGCATGTCGAGGAATGTTGTGTCGTAACCAACTATGAAGACCTGCCCGACCTCACTGATGCAACCAGCTGGTCCTTCCTAGCTGAATTAACCCCCGAGGTAGCCTGCGGTGAATTCGTCAACGTATTCGCCAAGCTCGTGGCAAGGACATCTGAAACCAAACTCTACCGGTTTAAAATGATGAAGTCTTTCGTAAGGAGCAGGACGCGTAAGTGCGTGGCGTTAAGGGACTTGGCATGGCACACTTATATAGCCTCCCCGAACGACCATACCTATGATGTGTACACAATACAAAGGAACCACTGTGTCAAACTCGTCCGGGAGGATAAACTTAAGAACCAACAAGGTCTAGTGGAAAAGTTTTGCTCCAATCCCAAACTGCTATACAGACACGTAAACAATTAGCGCCGTGTTAAGCGCGGTATTCCTGCTCTGTAGACAGCATGCGGGTTGGCCCAAACCACACAAGAGGCAACCAGTGTCCTTGGAAAACAACTTGACCATACCTTCCAAAACAAGCAATCATCATACATCCTGCCTACGCAGTTAACGTCGCCATCAGGGCTTAATCACATATCGTTCACCTCCGCAGCTGTACTGAAGAGGCTGATGTCTCTGCGCGAGTTCAGCTCCCCGGGTGCGGACGGCATTCGTCCGAAGACGTTGAAAGTTGCTGCCATGAGTTTGGCAGGACCATTAGCAATTTGCTTTCAACGATGTGTGAACGAGATTCAGGTCCCCACGATATGGAAGCACGGAATCATCAAGCCTAACTACAAAAGTGGTAGCCGTGCTGAACCAACAAATTATCGCCCGATAACACTACTGCCTGTGGTCTCCAAGCTTATAAAGTCCATCGTAGCTGAGGCTTTAATGGGTACCTTGAGAACAAATTCTCGTTCCGGAATAGCATGGATTTCGCCAAAATCGCTCCTGTACAACTAATCTCTTGATTGCGCGTGCAAACTGGACGGAATCTGTGGACGTTGGTGCAGGAGTCGACGCGGCCCAATTGGATTTCTCAAAGGCATTCGAGCGCATGGACCATCGCATTCTCCTCCACAAACTCCAGAAATAAGGAATCGGTGATCCTGTTCTGGTTTGGATAGGAGACTTTATCCTGCAACGTCACCTGAATGTGAGAGTTAGAAGCAACCTATCAGAATCCATCGAAGTTCAGTGCGGCGTACCTGGGTGCTCGGTACTTGGACCCCGCCTGTTCCTGGTCTTCATAAGTGATCTCGCGAGTGTGCTATCTTCTAACTGTTTGTTATTTGCTGATGACCTGAAGGTATGGCGCACTATAGCTGCAGTGGTGGATCACACAGTTTTACAGGAGGACCTAGACAAAGCGTACACATGCTGCACTTCAACGTAACCAAGTGCAAAGTTCTCAGTATACGGCATAAGAATATGCACAACTACCGCCTAGGACCACAAATTCTACAGCGGGCTTCTCACGAGTGCGAACTCGGCGTGATAATTCAAGATGACCTCGGTTGTTTCAGGCAGACTGAAAAGGCAGCTAATAAAGCGAACCAGTACCTCGGGCTTCTTCGCAGAGTTTTCGGGAAGTTTGACCCTTCAGTCTTTCCAAAAATGTTTGGTGCGTGCGTGAGGCCGCACGTGGAGTACGCTATCCAAGCGTGGCAACCCTGGCTCAAGCACCATCTCACCGCGCTCGATACTGCACAACATAGGGCAACGAAGAGTGGCAGAGGTTTGATCAGCCTCCCCTACCCACTCAGGCTGAAGACCCTCAAAATATACAGTGGACGTTATCTGCGTATAAGGGGCGATCTCATAACGGTGTACCAGATCCTGAGAAACCCTAATCACCCATGCCATTCCCTTCTTACA